TGCTGATACTTGGAGAGGGTTTGAATAGCAAAGCTTGCTTCCCTCTATAACCTGTAGGGATTTTATGATCCATTATCTTTTTTTGGGATTTATTAACTAGGTTTTCAATTCTAGTTGTCTAACTCCCAATCGTTTGTAAACAAAGATTGGTGTAATCATTTTGTTCGATTATATGTGGGATAGCATCTATTTTATGTGTATGGTGATCAGTTTCTTTTGGGGTAATCTTATAAGGTGAAGCCTTAGCTTCTGGTTTATCTTCAGACTTTCCTTTTATCTGAATGTTCATTTCAAGGGGATGAATGGATTCCAGTTCTTCTCCTTGTATAGTATGAAAAGTTTGATATGGACTTTCGACCATATTGAGACTGAATTCTAGGATTTTGATATTTTTCTAGGTTAAGATGCATCTCAACCATTCAAAGAATTTTACATTCCTTTTGTTTTTTACTATAAATTTATTAAATCTTATATGCAGAGCATCAAGTAATTCTTGAGGAAATTCTGTTAGATACCAGTCTCGAATCCTTTTATTTTCATCAGACAGGAAGTCCTATTTTATTCATTCTTTATCTATTTTAAATTTTTCTTCAGCCAGGAGGGTAAGAATATTAAAATCTAAGTTTGATGGTGTTTGTTCTCTATCTGGGGAACTGGGTTCATAAATTCTATACACTGGTTGTTCATAAATTCTATACACTGGTTGCTGGACTTGACTATTTGCTTTAGTTAGGCTTTCTACTATTAGTCTTCGATTAGTTCATTCATGCTCAGACTGAGGAACAGAGGAAGTAGAGCATCTAGAAGGGACTCTTGAAGGACCATCAGCAGTATTGATTCTAGTTCGTCTTGAAGAGTTAAATTGTATTTCAATTTCCCTGTCAGGATATTCTATTATTTGCTCTGGTTCTCTGTTTATAGGAGTTTTAGATTGTTGATTTTCACAGTGCAGAAACCATTTCTCAGGGAGTCTAATTTGGGACCAAGATATCATCTTGGGTATTACAGTATTGGATTTTTCTATATTTGTTTGAAAGAATATTGTTTGTCCCTTAGTATCCATTTGCAATACATTAGGACATAAAGTATTCATGACTTTAAAGCATATCCTATAGACTAAGGCAATATTCTGATATCCTAAAGTCATATCAAATCCTTGACTCTTTAAGTTTAGAGTAAGAACTTTCAAAAGATTAGGATCAGTTAAGGCTACTGAAAAATTGGGAAAACAGTTAAAATATATTGGTCCATTATAGAGACTTGACTCTATTATTCCTAACGGAGAGTCTGAGAATTTATTATGCCGTTCATCTCTTAAAAAGAGTAGAACGGAGTTATTCAGACCTATTCTAGCAAGTGGTTTTACAGCGATTTGTACAAGTCCTATATGCAGGTATTTATAGTTTTTATAGAAAAACCTATTTTGAACTCAAACGTCCCTTTTCTGTAGACATCGGAAGCTGAGACTTTAGGGATATTCTAGTTTTGGATTTTTTTTTCTATATTATCTATGATCACTGCTTCTCTATTCCTTATACATAGTGTACTAGAAGAAGAAGCTGCCCTACTGGATAGTGTCCTAAGGAAGTTTTTCATTTTAGATAATATTTTGATCACTGAGTCAGTCGGAAGCAGTCCATGTACCTTTCACGGCTCTCTCTGACCTACTGGTAGTTCGGGTCACGATGAGTTTTAGTGTCAAACTATTATCTTTGTAAAAAACGTACTTAATCTTACTAGAACAAATAGAACATATCTCTTTTTCAATAAATTACCTTTTAGTCAATTTATTTCATGTAAAAAACAATTTTGATATTTTTCATAGATTCGCCTAGTTTTAATGAACACAAGTTTCAAATTTCAGACCATTCCGATATGTAGAAAAACAATGAAAATTGAAACACTACTAGACAACTATGATCGTGCGATAAATTTTAGACGGTGATGAACATAGGCGAAATCACTGTTCATTTTCTCCTCTAGGCGTTGTATAGTGATTTCTTATATATATATATATATATATAGGTAGTAATAGAACTATTGTATTTTTCTATGTCTACATCCTACCGTTACTAAAGTTATTGCACGATCACAGTTGTCCGGTAGTGTTTAATTTT